GATATTGTCCACTTTGAGCATAAGCTCTCATGGCTTTGCTTTGGGCTTCCCCAAAAGGCCTCAGACCAATGGAGATAGTATTCCTCACTTATAAACCCATGATCTTCCACTAAATTAACCAATGTGGGACACTCCCAATCCCAATAATCCTCAACATTGACTACACAAAGGCTTTCCTCAGTCACTGTCAGGCTTTGTTGTTCAATGTTTTTGCAGGGGAAGGGATAATCTCAGCCATTCAATTACCCGCATCTCGAGGTTTCCTGGTCTTTCGGTTGATTTTCTTTAATTCTTCTAAATTGGCCACTGCTTTGTTTCTTCTTTTAGCTTTTTCTACCAGAAATCGCTTGTTTTTCAACGCACTAGCGTGTAGGAATTCTAAGAATGAAGATTTTTCGAGGTTGTCATTATTTTCCATGAGATATGGATTGTTTACTTTAAGACCAAAAAAGCTCAATTAAACATATTTATCCTGTGGGAAGTAGTGGATTCTTACATCTTAAACTTTGGCAGCCCTCTTATTTTGTGTTGACAATCTTGGCAATGGAAGTTGCAAAGCTAAAGATGGTTCTGTTGCTGTTCGCCTTCATCTGGCTGGTTTCTGCTTCAGACAGTCATTTGTCTCCGAAAGGAGTAAACTATGAAGGTCTGACCATTTCATGAATACCCATTATTTCATGTTATTCGAAAATTGGTTGAATGTTGGTGTCTTTGTTTCTTATGTTTTGCTCTGTTCAGTGGCGGCTTTGATGTCAATGAAGAGTAGGATAAGGGACGAACGGAGAGTGATGGAAGGATGGGACATAAATTCGGTTGATCCATGCACCTGGTTTATGGTTGCTTGCTCTACCGAGGGCTTCGTGGTTTCTCTGTAAGCTTCTCTATTTTGTTGTCCTCTTGGTTATCTATGCAAAAATGGTTCATATTTGACAATTTGGACCTAATGAGATTTTCTCCATGTTTAGTTTCCTGGGTAAAAACGACCCAAAAGAGGGTTGTACAACATTTGTTTTTCTTACTCGAAGGTAAAGCTGAAATATGCTTTTAATTATTGTTGTTATTGCAAGTGAGATGCCAAATATGGGCTTATCTGGAACGCTTTCCCCTAGCATTGGTAACCTGAGTCACCTTCGGACAATGTGAGCAACAAGCCTCCCTGTCCCTTCATTTTCTTCAAATCATTTCTTACACATCTATAATGATTGTCTTCTCAAGTAAAAATTCAGTGATTGTTCATACTTGGATAGCCTAATGTTGGAATGTTTTTCATTGAAGCTTTAACTCGCTTCCTTGAAAGTTTAAATTTACTGGGTATAAATAATTGCAGGTTGTTGCAAAATAATGAGTTAACTGGTCCAATCCCAGATGACATAGGAGGACTTACAGAGCTTCAGACTCTTGACCTTTCCCACAACCAGATTGTCGGAGGCATTCCGAGTTCTTTGGGGTTTCTTACTCATTTGAATTACTTGTGAGTATGACTGGATGATGTGCAAGATTTTTCTTCTTTCTTCCACTCGCTTATGCTCTCTAACTATTGTTTTACTGTTGTCATGTAATCTTTGTTGCCAAGTTTTCAGGAAGCTTAGTGGTAACAAGTTAAGTGGACCAATTCCGGAATCTGTTGCCAATATCTCAGGTCTTACCTTTTTGTAAGTATTCTGTTTCAATTCCTAGTGTTTTCTGGATTCACACAAGTGACTTCTGATTATATGCTTTGCTCCGTAGGGATTTATCAAATAATAATCTCAGTGGCCCAACTCCGAGAATACTTTCCAAAGAGTACAGGTGAGATTCCGTCTGTTCAGTTGATTTCTCAGGAATCTTTATCTAATTCCAAATGCCATCGGTTACTTTTGAAGATCACAACCATAAATATGAAGTGTCTTATGTATATTGGGTATATGAGATCCCATATCGGTTAGAGAGTAGAATGAAATATTCCTTATAAGAGTGTGGAAATCTCTCCTAACAAACGCATTTTATAATCGTGAGGCTGACGACGAAACGAGCCAAAATAGACAATATTTGCTATCGGTGGGCTTAGGCTGTTACCAATGGTATCAGATTCAGGCTCCGAGTGGTGTGCCAGGACACTGGCCCCCAAGGGGGGTGGATTGTGAGATCCCACATTGGTTAGAGAGTAGAATGAAATATTCCTTATAAGAGTGTGGAAATCTCTCCTAACAAACGCATTTTATAATCGTGAGGCTGACGACGAAACAAGCCAAAATAGACAATATTTGCTATCGGTGGGCTTAGGCTGTTACCAATGGTATCAGATTCAGGCTCCGAGTGGTGTGCCAGGACACTGGCCCCCAAGGGGGGTGGATTGTGAGATCCCACATCGGTTAGAACCGTGAGACTGATAGCAATAGGTAACGAGCCAAAACGGACAATATTAATATGTTCTGGCTCATCGTTTCTTTTCTTACCCATTGTTTTACCAAAGAGGGGGAATAAGTTTTTCCACCAATGCCATTTACCACCTTTTGACAGCGCTTGCCTTTTTTCCACAGTGTTGCAGGGAATAGATTCCTTTGTGCATCTTCAGAATCTAAAGTGTGTGGAGGAGTATCAAAACCAGTTAATGGTAATAAAATTTTATTGTCCGTAATCATTGTATCTTGAATGTCAATGGTATAAAACTCATGAATAGAGCTGTTATGGTGCAGAAACTGGTTCGCCTCAGAAAGATAATAGCCATCATCACTTGGCTCTTTCCATAGCTCTATTTGTCAGTTTCACGCTTGTGGTTTCTGTTGTGTTACTTGTTGGCTGGGTGCATTGTTATAGATCTCATCTTGTCTTCAAATCCAACGGTACTTTCTGACCTTTTACCTTTTCCTTCTATAATTTCTTTGATTTAGATTATAATGATGAACTTTGTTTGACTTCATTATTTTGGTTCAAATCTGCAGTGCAGCAAGATTATGAATTTGATATAGGCCATCTGAAAAGGTTTGCATTCCGTGAATTACAAAAGGCAACATGTAATTTTAGTCCCCAAAATATCGTGGGACAGGGTGGTTTTGGTGTAGTTTATAAAGGGTATCTTCCAAATGGGACATATGTTGCGGTGAAGAGACTGAAAGATCCAAATTATACTGGAGAAGTGCAGTTTCAAACTGAAGTTGAAATGATTGGCTTAGCAGTGCACCGCAACCTCTTGCGTTTGTATGGCTTTTGTATGACGCCACATGAAAGGCTGCTTGTTTATCCATATATGCCAAATGGGAGTGTCGCTGACCGCCTCAGAGGTTTGTTTTGAAAACATGCATTTGATATCTCTGCATATTGCAAACCTCCATCCTCTTAATCTCTCTTGAATATGTTTAAATACCGTCCACCCACAGATGCAGGCCAAGAGAAACCATCGTTGAATTGGAACAGAAGACTGCGTATTGCCCTTGGTGCAGCACGTGGACTAGTATACTTGCACGAGCAGTGTAACCCAAAAATTATTCACCGGGATGTAAAAGCTGCAAATATTCTTCTAGATGAAAGCTTTGAAGCCGTGGTTGGGGATTTTGGTCTGGCAAAGATGTTGGATAGAAGGGACTCACATGTTACTACAGCAGTTAGGGGCACAGTGGGGCATATCGCCCCCGAATACCTTTCAACTGGACAATCTTCAGAAAAGAGTGATGTTTTTGGGTTTGGCATATTGGTTCTTGAACTCTTAACAGGGCCAAAAGCAGTAGATGCTGGCAATGCTCAGGTGGTTCGAAAGGGAACGATTCTCGAATGGGTACGTAGAGATGAGTTGTTTACTTATCCTTTGGTTCTTTGATTTTGGGTTCATTTAAACACTTATCGTTAGCTACAAAAAAAGGTGAAATGAGCAGGTTAGAACGTTACATGAGGAGAAGAGGCTAGATGAGATGGTGGACAGGGATCTAAGAGGGTGTTTTGATGCAGTGGAGCTGGACAAAGCTGTAGAATTGGCTCTGCAGTGTACTCAGTCGCATCCACAACTCAGACCAAAGATGTCCGAGATTCTTAAGGTTTTAGAAGGTCTTGTTGGAGAGTTGAGCCAAATCGAGGAATCACCAGGCGGAGCAGCAAGTCTTTATGAGGACAGAGCTCATAGTTTCTCCCGGAATTACAGTGATATTCATGAAGAGTCTTCATTCGTTGTGGAAGCCATGGAGCTGTCGGGACCTCGATGACAGCAGCAAAGAGTTTAGGAAACCATTTAGTAACATAACAGCAAATCAGTTTTGCATCTCAAAGAGATGGAAAAGTATTTACCTCTTCTGTAACCTGTTCCACAAAACCAGAAGGCTAACCATGAAATTCTGGCTTGTAATTTATGTTTGTTTTGTTGGACTAGTGCGAAAGAACATTCTATTTTGTTTTATTTGATGTTTAGTTGCTTCAATGTTAAGCTCACAAAAGTCTAAAAACTCATCATTTCACCAACTACAATTCTAGTTGTCTTGTAATTCTCGTAACAATCGTTGTCCTTTCATCCTCCACTATCAAAAGCTTAACCATAATTTCACCAAAAAAAAAAAAAAAAAAAAAACTCGTAGATATTAAAACGCTTTTATTTGGGAGAAATTTTCATACCCCTGTAAAGAATGTTTAATTATTCTCTCCAAACAGGGGATCTCACAATCCATCTCTTAGAGCTCAACGTCCTCGTTATCACATGATATCATTTGTAACATCTCAAACTCACCACTACTAGATATTGTCCGTTTTGGTCCATTATATATGACCATTTAAAATGCGTCTCTTAAGAATGTTTGGTTCCTATTTCTAACCGACGTGAGATTTCATAATCAATGATATGACCCAAAAGAAAAAAGCTTCTGCAGGGGAGGGTTATCTTTTATCAACCCAAAATTTTCATAAAAAAAAAAAAGAGAGAGAGAGATTTTTGAAGAAAGTTGGACTTTTTTTTTGTAATTAATAAAGACAACTGGGGACATGGAGGATGAGAGGAACAAGAACAACGACAAGGCGTAGAGTGAGGTCTGAGGACAAATTCAACCTAAAGGAATAAATATGTCTAGACACGGAAGGTGGGGAAAGAAAGGGGAAAAAAAAAAGAAGCAAAACAGGTTGGATTTCATGGAAAAAGATGACGCGTCTGGTTTTGTTTCGGAATTATGGCACCGTTTACCCACAAAAAACAGCTACTTTACCCATTACAAACGCCATTCCTTACATTTATTACAACAATTCTTTAAACATCAGCAAGAACATCGTACTGTCAGTCACGAAATATTTGATTGCGTGTGTCAAAAGAAGAAGAACAGGAAGAAGATAACAAAAGAAATTAATATCTAATCAGTTTGAATAGTGAATTGAATTTGAGTATTTTTTTTAACCCTAATTGTCGCAGTTCCCATTGTTTGCGATGAAGACGAAGTTGGTCAGCCAATGGTATCAGGAGCCTTATCCTCCAATTTTAGTTGCTTTCATCACATACCCAATTGGGTTCCCATAATGAAAGACGAATTGTAATTGCATCCAATTTCCATGTCGTTTGCTTCACTCTGATTTTCACAATCCCGCTTTGAATAGTGATTTTCCCCCTTTTTTTCGTCGCATCGAGAAGTACTGGCAGAGAGAGAAAGGGAGGGGTTTCACCTGGAGGATCCCAATTGGAGACAACCCAGATCTCCGCTTTTTGTTTTTATTTTCAATTTATGAGGTAAACGCTGACCCCTGATCAAATTTTGGCGTTTAAGCTATAGATTGCGCTCCTTCTGTGGAGTTCATCCTCGGGATCAAGCCATTCATATCTTCCATTGGTCATCAAAAATGCTGTAAGCAAAAGACGTTTCTCGCATATTCCGTGAAAACTTGGAACATGCGACGATTCTTGTTCTGTTTTTAGTCTACTTTTCTGCCTTTTTCATGATAGATTACCCACTTCGGATTTCAAAGGATTTTTTCATTCGTATCAATAAGTTCGATGGAAAGTGATGCATTCTGATGGGGTATTGAGTTATTAGGGACATTTTTCTTTCAATTAATGGATCGAGAAGAAAGGAGTCGGCAAGAGGGTGGTGTTATCTCGAGTCGAGTAGAAACAGGGGTGCCTAAAACCACCAACGATTTGGTTAGTAGCGATAAGATCGAGTCCACCATTGTGATAATCCCAGAAACCACTGCGCCTACCGGCGGCGACAAGGACGCACACGCCCCTGGTAGAGAAACAAGGGAGAGTTCGAATCTGAACACTTTAGAAACTGTAGTGGTTATTGATACGGGTGGGGCTGCATCTGGAGGTGGAGATGGAGAATCGGTTGTGAAGAACAAGGGAATGGTGTCGGGGAAGGATTTGGAAAAGATGAATTTAAAGTCAAAGATGTCAGAAGCAAAGGAGAATCCGGCGTTGGTAAATGTAAAGCCAATAGAGGGTAGAGGGTTTGTTGAAGACTGGAATGGAGAAAGGGTGTGTAGGATCTGCCATTTGGCTTCCAACCAAGCCTCAGAGCCTAAAACTGGGACCAGTACTTCGGAGTTGATTCAACTTGGTTGTGGCTGTAAAGATGAGCTGGGAATTTCTCATACTCACTGTGCTGAGGCATGGTTCAAGCTCAAAGGAAACAGGTTCTTCCTTCTCTTCTGGTTTAATATCAAGTTTATGTACTGGATTTCGTATTGACACTTGATGATGATCTGTAATTTTGAACACTCTTTTGTTTGATTGTTGTAACTTGTAGCTGCTAGTCCGACCATTTAACCAATACTTTTTAGTTTTTTCTTTCCTCATTTGTTCAAGAATCTAGAATTTTAGTAACCTGTACAAATAGAAAGCGTTCCATTTCTGTAGAGCGAGGAGAATAAGCAGCTCTCTTAACACAAATAGAAAGGAGGAAAGTGGTCGTCTTTGGGTATTACCTTCGAGGGTTTCCCCTCAAGGTTTTAAAACGCATCTACTAGGAATACGTTTCCACACCCTTATAAGAAATGTGTGGGATCTCACATTCCGTCTGCATCCGTTCTTCTATTTATTTCTGTTATGTGTAAATGTCTCCTGTGAAGTTCAGTCTACCTTTGATTTTGTTTCATGCTGCCAATGTATCTTTGTCTTCCATTATAACGTTCTATCTAGGTGACATGAACAATTATACAAACGACAGAATGGCGCAATGACAAAGGTGCGCACGTATTTAACGAGCACAGCGCTCCGGAGTTTGAGTATTGAGTGGTTTCCCATTGATGAACTCAACTGTTTGTTTATGTACATATGCATGTGAAATATAAGGAAAAGAGTCCAAAAACTACAATTTTCTTTTCATACTGTCGAACGAGCTGATGATTATCTAATCATAATCGTAATCATTATGACATTTTGATCAATACAGAACGTGCGAAATCTGTGGCGAGATCACCAAGAACATTGAAGGAGTCGGGGACAACAGTTTTATGGAAGAATGGAACGAGGGAAGGTCAGTAGATAGCTATGGAAACACATCAAACAGGGGTGGGGGATGGTGGAGGGGACAGCCATTCTGTAACTTCTTGATGGCATGTCTGGTAATAACTTTTGTTCTTCCATGGTTTCTTCGTATAAACATTTTCTAGCAAGTGTCAGATAATAGAAAGCATTGTTGTGTTTGGCCGAATGCTGATTAGAGCAGATGAATTTGTGGGTGTTTTTGGTTGTGGTTAGTCAACGACGTTTCTGCAGCTTCTGCCTTCAGAGTTGCTTCAATAATTATCACAGATTCGTTAGTTGTTCATATTTTCGTTGCATTGTTTGTCTTCGTTAATGATCACCACCAATGTTATGATTCCACAATCCTCTATGAGATTTGTACTTATGTATAAATTTAACTTTGCTCCTACCAGGTTTTGAAAGTTTTTAGTTACTTTTCCGTGTTGGTTGATATAACTAGGAAGATGGAATTTTCCGAATGAAAATAAAGTTCACCAAGTATGTAACCGACAAAATCCACTGCTAATAAATATTGTTCGATTCAGCCCGTTACGTATCGTCATCAGTCTCTCGGTTTTAAGACGTACACCTTTGTACGGAATGTTTCGTTTCTCTCTTCAACCGACATCGGAATCCATCCCCCTTGAGGGCTAGTGTCCTTGTTAGCACACATCTTAGTGTCTTGACTTTGATATTATTTGTAACAACTCAAACTCATCGTTAATAGATACCGTTCACCCGTTACACATGTCAGATATAGTTCGGAGGATGAAGCCTTAATGGGTATAGCCTCTAGGAAATGAGGTTTAAATATACATTTTGGTCCATATAATTTCCAAAAACTTTTATATTGGATTTTTGGTCTATTTTTTAAAATAACATAAAACTTTTGATATTTATTCTTAAAAAAATTAAATTTCATGCAACTTTTGTATTAATATTAAAGGATATGTCTTAAAGAGGATCAACACCGTCAATCATTATCCGTTGTAGTCTAGTTGGTTAGGATACTCGGCTCTCACCCGAGAGACCCGGGTTCGATTCCCGGCAACGGAATTTTTTATTAAACTTTTTATTTATAAATATTTTACCAATATGACCTTACGATGAAGGGACAGTTTCGTCAATTTAACGCACAGAGAGACTATTAATAACTTAAAAACCCTAGCAGTCCCTCCATTGCATCTTTACGTCTCGAGCTTCGTTTACCGCTTCTCAACTTCGACTCTGCAAAAATGGTATTCCTCGCTCTTTCGTTTGATTTTTGTTTGCATTGAAGCATCGAATGCGTTTTTGCGTGTTTAGGTTTCTAATTTAATTTGATGCTACATTACATTTCAGGCTTCAGAGAAGAAGCTATCAAATCCTATGCGGGATATCAAAGTCCAAAAGCTTGTTCTTAACATCTCTGTTGGTGAAAGTGGTGATCGTCTTACCAGAGCCTCTAAGGTTTTCTTCCCGTCTGTGACTTGCTCTCAAGTTCTCTTCTGTTTAATTTCCGTCAAGACTCAACAAAGATTCTGTTTTTTCTTTCTGTATTTCAGGTGCTCGAACAACTCAGTGGCCAATCTCCGGTCTTCTCCAAGGGTATAATTGCATTTACCTTTTAATCACTGTTAAAATTACCGTTTCTATCTTATTTATTCATTATCTGAAATTCGTGGGGATGCCTTTCTGGAATCTTTGTGATTGAAACAGCACGGTACACCGTTCGATCATTTGGGATCAGACGTAATGAAAAGATTGCGTGTTATGTGACCGTGAGGGGCGACAAAGCAATGCAGCTTCTTGAGAGTGGTTTGAAGGTTAAGGAGTATGAGCTGTTGCGCCGGAACTTCAGCGACACTGGCTGCTTTGGTTTTGGAATTCAGGAGCATATTGATCTCGGAATTAAGTGAGTTTCAATCCTTCGTGTTATTTTTAGCGAATTTTTGCTCCCATTTTGTTATTGCTTATTTATTTCTGTAACTGGTATTGATTGTTGATTAGGCTGATATTTATAGACCTTAGACAAATCAGGATTACGATTTACAGTATGTAAGTGCGTTTGTAAAACCTTTGTGAAGTATTGAAGAATAAGAGGGAAAATTCTAGAATTTTAATTTTACTACTGTAATAAATCAGTTCCGTCAATTGACTAATAATCATACTTTCTTTTGTGACTGGATTTGCTTCATTATCTAACCTATATCAGGAATCAGGAGACGGGTTATTTAACTTTTGTGCTCACAAAATTTATTGTGATAGACCCAATCCAAGTGATAGACCTGTCATAAGCAAGGCTGTGTACGTTTGTAACTTAGGTAGATACACACTATTCATTGACATTAAGTACAACATGTGTAAGGTTAAAGAGGTAATCGTCATTTGGTTTGATGAAAAGACTTCTATTTTAACTCTTTCTGACTTGTTTTATCTGAACAAATATTTGCATGATTTTTTATTAGTCTTATACTTTTAACTCTCGTTACATTCAGACTAAATGGAAACAATACTTAACGCTATTGAAATAACATAATCCAAAGAGAATTGTTTATAGTGGTAGTATCACAAGTTACCTGAAAATCACGTGCACCATATATACTTCAGTGCCTCGTCTATATTGAACTTGAACTGAAACCAAGGGGAACATCCATCCCTAGTCAACTTTACCGATGCTCAACTTTGATTTCTTGAGGCTTGAATTAGTGGGAGTGCTCATTGCCTCATTTTTAGTCCCCAAGTAATTGGGTTTTTTTTTTTTTTTTTTTTTTTTTTTAAACTCACATTCTTCTAATTTTTGCTACAGGTATGACCCTTCTACGGGTATTTACGGTATGGACTTCTATGTTGTTCTTGAACGTCCAGGTTACCGTGTAGGTCGCCGCCGTAGATGCAAATCAACTGTTGGGATTCAGCATAGAGTCACTAAAGAGGATGCCATGAAGTGGTTCCAAGTCAAATATGAAGGAGTTATTCTCAACAAATCTCAAAATATATCCTAGAAAGGTTCTCTGCTATCTTTGCTGTCATGTTCAAATTTTGGCAATATGTTAACTCATTTAAGATTTGTCCATCAGAACTATATTTCTTTTTTATGGAGCGTTCAACCCTTTCTTATATTATTGTATTCTCTGTTTCAACTCTTTTTGCCGCGTTGGAAATCAGTATTCAATTTTTTTTGGTTATACAGTGCCAATTGTTTTGTTATAAATTCATGGTATGTAAGCAAAATTTCCAGAACTAGCTGGTTAGGTTCATGTGTTCCGTTCTCCTGAAGAAAAGAAAACCTGTCGGGAAAAGTTTTCTCCGTATCTCCTAACAATAAGGATTCTCCTATAAATATCCTCCTTCCCCAGTAAGATTTTTGTTATCAAACCTCCCCACATCTGCTTCGGTCGTGTGAGGCCAAAATAGGATTTAAATCTCAAAAGTTCCGTAGTCGATGGATTTAGACTCCAAATAAGTGCATGTTTGGTTTGGCACGATACATTTTGGGGATGGATGACGTGTTTCATTTCATCTAATTTTTTTAGCTATTGATTTATTGAAAATAAGTGCATGTTTACTTCAGTTTTCATCTAAGTTTGATTTTATTATATATTTTTAATCATCAAGTTAATCAATGAATGTAACATGCCAGATAGTGTTAGCCTAAACTGTGATTGTAGTTTTAAGAATAAGAGGAGACAGAAGGGACAGAAGCAAGAGGAAAGAAATGGAAAACTTGGTTGGGGATTGACAACCAGGTTGTTCTTCATTTCATGGGGTTCATCATTAAACATTTGGGTCCCATCCACATTCCACACAACTCTTACGCTATTTGAAGCAAAGGGGGTTCCCATAATAACCATTCCATAAACAAAATGGCCCCTCCTTCCAACTTTACATCTATCACTTTTTCTCCCCTTGTAATTCCCTACCCATTCCCCTATCTTATCTTTCGATCCATCTTCTCTGTGGACCCTTATTCGAACAAGCTTCTTATTTTGTCATTCAAATCCAAATGGTTTAAGACGCAATCTTTCTTTACCTTCAACAACTCACTGGCCCATTTAACCAAATCAGTGCATGCATATTAATAACACAAAATGGATATGCTTGTAATGGAACAAAAGTACACAACTGAAAATAAACAAACATGTCTCATTATTAATTGCATCTTTTTAGAAGTTTCACCGAAAACTAAATCATTGAACAGATAGATTTTCTCATCCACAACTGTAACATTATACTTGCGTGAGATGATAGATTAAAAGAACTCTGTTTTCCAAAATAATGTTTCTGATCTAATCGAGCTTGAACTTGTGATAGCTAATCCGAAGAGGTGTAATCTCAACGACAGCACTTGGACAAGAGAACCGAGAAAACAATGATAAAAACTAAGGATGACAACCCAATTGCCACTCCAAGAACTACCTTGTTTGGCCCGTGTTGATGATTATCCTCCTCGTGACTAAAATGGTTCTCCTCGTAATCACTTCCACTGTCATCCGCCACTGAATAGTCATCGTCGTCTCTAGCCGGCGGTGGGGGTATCGGCAAACCGTGTTTGTCACAAGGAGCAATACCAAGCTTCAATTTGGATGATAATGTGGAATGGTTATAACATAGATTGCCGTTCCCCTGAATCTTGAACACTTCCAACCTCTTGATAAACGATTCATTGAAAGGAATTACTCCACGAAACTGATTGTTCTCCAGATTCAAGTACTTCAAGCGTTTCATCTCCGAAATGAACCTCGGAATTGTCCCGTTCAACCGGTTCGAACCGAGATCAATATGAATTATCCCCGGGATGGCTGAGAAAGACTCCGGGATCGGTCCTGACAGCGAATTAGAAGCTAATGACAAGTTCTGAAGTGAAATCAAGTCCCCAATTGAAGTGGGTATCTCACCATTGAGCGAATTCAACGACAAATTTAAGGTTTGAAGATTCTCAAGCGATGTAATGGAACTAGGTATCTTCCCCCTGAGCTTATTGCCGGAGAAATCGACATGGGTGAGGTTGAGATTGAGGTGTTTAGGAACAAAACCCGTGAGATTGGCGTGAGAAATGGTAAGAGTCCTGATGGATTTCATATGACCAAGAATGACATAAGGACCAGAGGCAGTAATAGGGACACCAGAGACAGTGAGATCAGAGAGGTTCCGGAGGCGGCTGAGCCACACACCAGTGAGCTTACGGAGACTGCGAATGCAAGTGAAGGAGCGGAGGGAAGTGGCGAGATCAGAAGGGAAGCGAATAGGGGAAATGGGGCAGTTGAGGAACTGGAGGGATTGAAGAGTGGAAAGAGATTTGAGAGCAGTGAAGGTCAAAGCGACGTCGTCGGCACAGTTGACGAGGCGAAGAGAAAGAAGGTGGCGGAAAGGGGCGGAGGAGTCGCAGAGAGTGACATTATGGAGTGAAGACGGCGAACATGGGTTTCTAGAAGTGGGAATGTGAAGGGATTGGAGGGCTCTGAGTTGCTTGGGGTCGAGGGTCGAGGAGAACGGCGAAGGGGAGGCGGTGGGGGCGGAGGTGGGAGAGAGAGTTGCCAAAACAGAGGGTGCGATGGAAAAGAGGAAGAGAAAGAGAAGGCATGAAAATGGTGAAGGTTTTTTGAGTTTCATGGCAGTTTTGGGAGAATAGGGTTAAGGTTGGGTTGTGAACAGAGCAGCGAAGCAGCAGAAAAACAGAGAAAGTGAAGAATGGAAGAAGATGGTCTACAAAGCGAGACCTTTAGGGGAACGTGTCAGCTTTGTCTTAAAACGCCCCTACATTTGTTCACATTTCATAATAACAAATTAATCTCCCACTTAATAATAATGATTATTATATTTCTTTTAACTCAAACAATATTTTAGTATGAAAAGCAAGGAAAAAGAAAATCTTAGGAGGGCAATAATGTAAATAACCCATGGAAGCGAGATCACATGCTTACAGACTGATATGACAATCTGGAAGTACTTCGTCAAAGTGGGTCAACTCATCGTAGATACACTTTTTTATTTTATTTTTTCATTTACTTTGCTTTGCCTTTTTAGACCCGACCATCCGATCTCTCTCTCTCTTTTTTTTCTTTCTTTTTTAGAGTTAAAAAGATGTTTGAAGAGTAATGTCTAAGAGCTTAAGAGTTAGATTCAGAAGAACTGAGTTGGATGAAAGTGAATCAAACATGGTGATCCTTCCTCTAACGCTTTAACACCATTTTAGCATCTGGGTTAGCTTCAGAACAGGATAAAAATGAGAAAGTTGGTTTCTTTTGGAAGATATGGCGTTGGGACCAAAACCAACCCTACAAGTTCAGTGCTGTCTCTGCTTGCATTGATGGGCAAAATTGAAGAAGAAAAAGGCTGGAAGCTTGGGAAGCGTGTGGATGTAATTTATTTTATATGCATACACTTAAAACAGAGTTGAACTTGTTTGACAGAGCATGACTGCAATTCATCGCTTGTTGGGATATACTTTGGAAAGGGGGAGTGGGGATGATGCGAAGAAGAACAACAACAAGTTCCCTTTTAATTGTCCGAAGAATGATCCAAAAGGCATATGTGAAATACTCTATTCCTCCGGCCACAAGCATATTCGAGGCTTATGTGCGAATCATGCAGCCTTTAAATCCCAGCACAACCAACAACACTGAGATAACATTATGAATGGAGGATCGTCAAGGGGTAGAGAAGAATGAGAGGGCGGATCCCTTTTGGCAGAAAGGTTTAAAATAGTTGCTGTTTGAGAGTGGTTCGTCTGCCAAAAGAGACTTGCCCTGCCATTCCACTCTTCTACCACATACATTCATTATCTTCCACTCAGCTGCCCCTAATCTTCACCTTATTATTGGGATTAATTAACTCGTGATAGTGTTCATGTTGTACAGTGAAACCCTGAAAATGGGAGTGATTATTTTTTAAGAAGATCACTGGTGGGCAGTGCATACAACCTAAAGCAATGGATTTGGGAATAATTCCATGAAGATTTGAAGGAGGAATCAATCTGTATAAAAATGATTCTAAACGAGCATCTGGTAGTGGGAGACTAAAAATAAAAGAATTCATTCACTCACCCGGAAGAGTTAGAAGGACGTGAAGATGAAAAATGGGGAAGCTGATTGTTATAGGTGAATGATAAAGCTGCAGAGGAATTGCTGGGCAAATCTCGTTTGGCAGCCAACAATGAGAGATGAATTAAGTGAGCAGCCAATAGAGAGTTGGCCCTGTAATACAACGGCAGTGGCTACTTCCTTCTGTTCCACAACGCAGCAAAGCACAAACAACTTGTATTTATGGAACCCACGGAGGAGCATATCCATGGGGTATATACATTTATTTCTCTCTTCCTTATTCTTCACCTCTTTCTTTCCGCCACTCTTTACGACTTGCGGCGGTTCGGCTGTTGATTCCCCGCCATAATTTATTGCCTTTAAACTCTGCCCTTCTCTGACCATCTGGGTGCGCGCGCGCATGACCATCTGGGTGCGCGCGCGCATGCGTATGCAGAAACTCGACGCCCTGCCGCTGATTAGTTACTTTATACTCATCTGTGGCATCTCATCACACTGAAAGGCCGTTTATTCACAAACCTTCACTGAAGATCTGTGACACATGAAATCAAAATCTGGAATTCTCTTCATTTCTTATTTTTTTAATTCAACAAATTTATGTTTATTACATGTTATTAGCCATACTTTAAGTTGTGATTGATGGGGTTTTTTTAATTGTCAGAATCAACGTTTTCATTGAGAAAGTTCAGGGCTTCCAATTAGAAACAAAACAAAACAAAACAAAAAAAAATAGTGACAAACAATTGTGGGCATAGAATAAATTCTTTATTTTTTTGACTCGAGAAAGATCATTTTGACTACAAGGAATTGACAAATCTTACAAACACTCAAATGAACACCCCAAATTAGGAGCCCACATATCCAAATACACTGCTCCGCCCTGTGGCTGAAAGGCCCGGCCCACTTTTGCCTCAGTTATAGCCCCTCCTAGTTCCTACATTGGGCTCCTATATCTCATCTTACTAGCTCTTTCTTGGTTTGCCCCTAAACTATATTTACTAGAAGAGTTACTCTCCCGATACCTTTGTAACGTGGTCAGGTCACAAAGAATGCTAGAGTACCATTATACGTGAGATCTCACATCGATTGGAGAGAGGAACAAGTGCTAGCGAGAATGCTAGACCACAAAGAAGGGGTGGTTTGTAAGAACGTTAGAAACAAAACATTTTTATAAGAGTGTGAAAACTTTCCCACGCATTTTAAAAATCTTAAGAAGAAGTCTGAGAAAGGAGAGTCCAAAAAGTACTCCGTGTTTGGGTGGTGCTGTTGCACATTAGATGCATTTGGGTGTATGATTGATTCAACTTCCACCAATCAAATCATTCCCTGGGCGTATAGGTGGAATCCATGGAGGAGGAAGAGAGGCAAAAGGAAAGTATGTTGAAGGAAGAAGCCAAAGGAGGAGTAATCAAAAGTCGAGCCACCCAAATAGTTTATTGTTAGTACACACACGTCAAACACAAATGGACACTTTAAAGAAATATCAAAAGAGAAACACAGACACACAGAAAAAGGGAGGGTTTAAAAACGCCTTTCTGCGGTGAGAACAACATGTTTGGGGGTTTGTGGGGATACTGCCATCGAGTACTACCTTCAAAAAAGCTAAAGCTGCTTACATTTCCACAAACCTATTGATTAATCACATGCGTCTTTCTATGTGCCTCTAAGCAAACCCAATACCACCCTCCACAAGACCCACCCACAAAACCTTAAGGGAGGGTAGAAGACAGAGAAAGCAGAGGAAAACAGGGGCGGAGGAGGGTATAGGCATATACAAAATGCCAAACACCAATCAGAGCAGGTGGGATTCATTTGTTTTCAAGTGTAAACCCGTTTGACATATCATATTTCTAAGGCGCAGGTTCTTTTTGGGTACACCCGAAGTGGAAAGAACGATAAAGAATAAAACAGAGTCCAAAAGTAGTGTCAGACACATGTGACTTATCTAAACTCACTTATCTGTAGAGCTCACCAAGCCCTTCAAATTTTCAACAAAATAACATTACATTACATTACAATTCAGGTAGCTAATTGAGGAAGCCCATGAGTGAACCAGCTCATTGGTCTCTGCTCTGTCCACTTGTACACCTTATTCACTGATCAAACCCCTCTTCTTCCTCTTCTGTCCTCTGTTTCCTTGTCTTCTTCTCACCTCATTCCAACATTCAAACTTCAAACATCTTAATCCAAGGTAGCTACACCATTGTGCTTGGCAGACAGCATTAGACCTGAAGTAAAAAAGCACCATGCATGTGCTACTATTGATTGTAATTGGCTTTTCCATCTCTTAAATTGAGGGGGAAAAAGTTAAAGTTATCCTCTTTAACCATGAACAGTCCAAACTCATAACGAGGGAAACATAAAAGACAACACCCAGCCTAAGTTTTTTAATACCCACATACCGCATTGTCGTGTGTATATATGTGTGTAACTGTAGGCATAGAAGTATTAGCGTACGAATCATTAAATATTGCATAAGTTTAGAGAGATGGGTTCCTCTGTTTTCATGTTCACATAAGAACAAAAGGAAAGTAGCTCAGTGATTGCTTCAGTTTCGCCTTTTTACGCTATAAAAACCCAGACCCAGACCCAGACTCTTCATTTCAGGCCACATTCTTCACTAACTTATCTCAATTGGGAAGCAAGTCGGAGCTGAGAGAGATGGTTTCTGCATTAGAAAACAGATTCAACTCACGCAAGAAGCTACGCCTTGTTCGATCTCTGGGCACCCATGAATCCCCTGTAATTCCTAAGACATTCTGTTTTGGTGATTTTGTTTGTTGGGGCCATAAATGATGGAATTCTCTATTTATGCAGGGAAAACAGAGGAGTGGGTTCTGGAACTCTGTTCTGTTCATTCATAAGCTTAAGCTGAAGCTGGAAGCAATTGAAAGAGAATACTTGAAGTCTATAAAGGAACTCCATGCGCTCAAGGTCCTTGTTGTTTTAGAATTGTTGCTATGTATGTGTTTATGGTAAATTGAATCTTCCATTGATGCTTGATGAACAGGAAGTGAAGGTGGAGAAGATGGGAGAAGAGATTAAAGTGAAAGTGAGATGCGAGAAGGGAGAGAATAGATTGGTTTCAGTATTAGAAGCATTGGAGAGAATGAGATTGAACGTGGTGGAAGCCAGAGTTTCGTGTAGTGAATGCTTTTCAATGGAGGCCATTGCTGTAGCTGAAGATGATCAGTTGGTGAATGTAAAAGATATAACTGAAGCTATTAATGTAGCCATTGATGCCTAATCATAAGCTTCACTTCCTTACCCACCACTTGAATCACAATGTTTCTTGATATCTCAACCTCTCTTTTTTTTCTTAATTAGATCCTAAATTATTATATAAAATATTTACTTTTTGTTTTGATAGTAAAAAGAAAAAAAAGAGAAAATGATTTTCTTAAATTCAATTAAAAAGGAGGGGACTTTAAGGAAAAGAGGATCCAAAGAAATCCGGGTCAAAGTTCAGACCCACCGTAGATTCGACCCGTGACACCCGATATCATGTATCAAAGAAGGTGAATAAGAAAATACCAGAGATGTTTCTTATAGCTGTAGTTTACACACAATACAAGCAATGAAACAAATGTTGGAGTGTTTGAGACAATAATGTACTCAGCATAGGAACAAAGTCCCTCAAACTCAAATGAGTATCAACTGCAACTCCCAAGTTTACCAGCAGCTTAAGCATATCACAACTTTTGGCATCACGAGTTAACTTATCAGTAATCAAAATCCCTTCCCTATTCTGTGCATCCCTGGAAATGTTTCACAAAATCACTGTGTATACCATAGATAGATAAAATACATGTGCCCCAGGTGACATCCTGCTGCACCAACTTCAGATTGCAAGTTTAGCTGGAACAGCAACCACCTTTCTTTATCTCGGACACGTCCTTGCTGATGTCGATTCTCTCCCCTTTTGCTAGAACAACTGATGCAGCAGCATCATTGCTAGCTTCCATAGCCTTCTTGCTCACCAAGTGGTAGATTTGTTTAAGCACTTCAACGAATGCGTTGTCCACGTTTGTGGATTCAAGTGCGGAGGTTTCCATGAAGCAGACGGACTCTGTCTCAGCAAACGATTTTGCATCCTCGGTTGGGACTGCCACAAGGTGACGAAGATCGGATTTGTTGCCAACCAGCATGACCACAATGTTAGGATCTGTATGATCTCTCAACTCATTCAACCACTTCTCAACGTTTTCATAGGTAGCGTGTCGAGTAACGTCGTACACAAGCAGGGCACCAACTGCTCCTCGATAGTAGGCACTTGTAATTGCTCGGTACCTACGAACTGGAGAAGTCAGATGACTGAATATGTAGGAATATAAGGTGAGCAGAAGTTCTAAGGTGAAGCTAAGTTAAAAGTCTGTCACACAGGTTAACCATTTTCAGTACAGCAAAAGCTTGCTCACGCCAAGAATTCCCTTTGACTTGCACTCACCATGATATAATGAGAAATTTGTGCCATTTTTTTCAGATAAACAAGACACTAAAAATATATCTTTCCCTGCAGAATATCCAAGATGGTGTTTGTAAAACCCCAAACTCACCGCTAGCAGATATTGTCTTCTTTGGGCTTTCTCTTCCATGGTTTTCCTCAAGGTTTTTAAAACGCATCTAGTAGGGAGAAGTTTCTATACCCTTATAAACAATGTTTCGTTCCCCTCTCCAACTAATGTGGGATCTCACAATCCACCCTCCTTCGGGCCACAGCGTCGTCGGTGGCATTTGTCCCCTCTCCAATCGATATGGAATCTCACAATGTTAGTATGAACGGGTTCAGTCAACCTCAAAAACGGCCTCAGATGTTTTATAAACCAACACTCCATGCCTAGCATCTTCGCATCGATAAGGAATTGCACAAACTTCGAATTAGATCTTCACATAAACACGACCCTTCATAACCAGTTTAACAGATTTCCTGTAACCTGACTTTGATACTAGTAATTGATATTCCTCGGCTCTCTCAACCCCAAACGCTACAAAGAGGTGAGTTCTTCGTCACACTTATAAGCCAACACTCGACGACATCCAAAATGAAGGTCAAATAACCCAACATAATTTCTAATAATGGAAGACAATTACTTGGAAGAGGAAAGTAGAGAAACAAGCTTCTCGAAAATTGACGTTACCGCTGATCGGTCTTCTAACATACTCATGAACTTTAGGTGCATTTGAATGTGCAATTCGTATCGGTAGACATAAGATGTCTGAGTAACAATTGAAGGGAAGGGGGCTCCTGGTTTAAGCCATAAAGACATGTTTCAAACCAAAGAGCTCTCCATATTGAAATACGGCTGGAAGGCTTGATTTGCTATCTTTATTGGTCCTTTCTGTGTGCCGTTTTATGGAGAAGGTAGCATCCAGCAGGATAGGATGTCGTTAATTTGGGGGTCAACTAGTGATGCAAATTGGACAACAACACAGAGCACAAACCGTATGGTGAATTGAGGTTTTGATGGGGATAAAAATGACAAGGGAAGGCAACATCCGGCAGATAAAAGTAATCGAAGTTCTAAGAAATGTCTTTGAGTTTAGATCCACCAAACCCGTTTGGTACCCCATTACAATCAACACCTAAAATATGGAACCTAATAAACAAATGAACAAACATGATCTAAACCAAGCAAATACATTAATTAGCAGTAATCAAAGCTAAAGAATCAATTAAATTTGAAGGCAGTACATCTCGAAATCAACAGAAGCACAAAGAAAAACAATAAAACAATAGGAGAGCCCCATATGTGACACAACATTTCCACCAAAAAAGACAAGGACCCAGATCATGAAATTAAAATAAACAGAGAGAAAAGAGAAATCACCGTTCTTGGCCAGCGGTGTCCCAAATCTGAGCCTTGATAACCCTGCCATCAATACTCAAACTGCGGGTAGCAAACTCAACGCCAATAGTGGACTTAGTTTCGAGGCTGAACTCGTTTTTGGTAAAGCGGGAAAGCAAATTGGACTTGCCAACGCCAGAATCGCCGATTAAGACGACCTTAAAGAGATAGTCATAGTCGTCTTCAGCTCTGTACGCAGACATTTTTGAGGAGCCCCCACAGGTACAATGCTGGACCGTCCACAATAAGAGAGAGACAAAGATGGGTTCTCTTCAGATCGCGGACTTTCCCTCTCTCTCACTGCAAAAATCTTTTCTTTTTTATCGGAGCTGTGTTTTTATCCCAAAAAAAAAAGTAATTTAAGAGCCTTGTTTGTTCGGAAGGGGATGCGAAAGACCCCTTGTTCTGGAGCTGAAGTGCAGCAGAAATAAAGAGAGCGATTGAGTCGAATTGGGTCTGGGTTTGGGTTTGGGTTTAATAGCTACAGAAAAAAGTCGGCCATTCCAAACTTTGAAGGTTGGAGCAGACTGGATTAACCCGACCAAACTGTCCTAATCACGTCAACCTCCTCCCTCCACTTCATGCCACCACATTCAAACCATATTTTTGGTACTACAATTTGCTTACATTATGTGGTTTTTTTTTCATTTCTTAAATTGGTTAGTTTGTTTTTTAAAAATTTAGAATTTAGTTTTTTAACTTTTGAATTTTGTTTTTATAATTTGATAAAATTTTATAAACACACTCACAAAAATTAACAAAACTCTTCTAAATAGTTACCTTATTTAGGAAAATCTTATCAATTGAACGATCGAATTTGGTGATGTCATGTGTTGAAAAGAGGGTGGAGCACCGTATCTCCATCCTTGATGACATGCATCTTGTGGTTCAATTTGATTTGAATTTGTATTTAACTCCTTGACTTGCATGCTACTTAGTTTAGCGTCCACAGTCGGATATGAATCATGACCAATGTCTCATTTGAGTGCATCATGTGTTGTTGTTATAAGAATAATCTGTAAAAGCCCAAATCCACCGTTAAGTAGATATTATTTGCTCTAACCCGTTACTTATTGCCGTTAGTCTCATAGATTTTTTAACGCGTTTGTTAGAAAGGGTTCTCCACACCCTTATTAAAAAAATGTTTCGTTCACCTCCTTAGCCGACAATAGATGTTGTTGATTGAAGGGATATATATATATATATATACATACTAGTTCAGATGTAATTAAAACTCTTTCATATTTATAGAATTTGCTATCAATCACTAAAAAGTTGAGCCTCGTAAATGAAGCAAGGCTCAAAAAGCGAGCCACCCTTTGCCCTGTTTAACCTTTGGGGTTCATAAACGTGGATACCCAAAACCATATATGAAGTTCAGAAGAGAAAGAGAGAAAGATAGAGATGAGATTCCACCAACTAATCAACACCCACCAGAACTCAGTGATCCAAAGTCAAAATCAGCAAAGAACTGGACGCTTTCAGGCTGCCATTCTCATCACTTCCAAACACAAAGGCTTGTAAGCTGCAAGTTTCTTAAATTTTGTCCCCTCTTCTTCCAATGCTCCAAACAGGACCATAACAAGTCCTGGAATCTCTGATGTCACAGGGACCAATTGGGTCATAAGGCTCTGATTCCCTTGATCAATTCTTCATTTATTACCTTCTCTTTTCAATCTGACACAATTCAACCCCCCCAGTAAGCTTGGGTCAACAAAATCCCTTTCCTTTCTAATCTAAACCCGCTTATACACGTTACAAAATCCCTCACCAAACAACTCACCATCATCGCCTATATAACTCAACAGCTTTGTCGTCTTCAACCCCTCAACTGGCTTCCAACCTCCATCAATGTCCATTTCCACCACTGCTACTCCAAAATTAGTTCAGAGGGTACCCAAATCCACTTCAGACAGATTGCTTCAGAAGTTCTGCGATGCTACCGAATTTGGATTTGATTACGACACAAGTGGCCTCTGGTCTCCCCCTCTTCAACGCACTGTTTATTTGAGCTCTTCCGGTAGAGTTTTCTATCCAACGGATTTGCAAAGAAAGCTTGAGAATGTGTTGAGTTCTGATCGTAGAAGAGAAACAAGTTGTTTCAAATTCAGAGTAAGTTGAATGTTCAAATTTGGTGGGTTTGTTTCAAATTCTCTTGAAATTGGTTTGTGTTTAGATGTATGCAGTTCATATGTTGTAGGTGTTTTGGTGATCCATGAATGAGGCAAATCTCAAAGCTGCCATCTTTAGTACCTCGCTTCCATTTTTCCTTATAATGCAAGATCTGCCTCAAATTTGGAGCCACTCAGGGGTGGGCTACAGCTATGTCTTATGGTATTGTGTCATGTGCAGAAGGCTTTGCTTTATACAACTAAGCACAGTATTTGGAGTATTGAAACATATGGATAGCAGAGGTCCGGTGAAGTGGGTCCTGTAATGGCTACCTTTGCATGCAAAATAACAAAACCCAATAAAACATCTACACAACACAATTCTCAATGTCTCAGCTCCATTTATCAAGACTCTCTCATTTTCCATTTCTATTTCACTCCCTGTAGTAACAGAAATGTTGGGATTTCTGATATAATTGAGCAAGAATGGCATATAAGATATTGTCTTTTTTTTAGGCTTTTCTTTGGAGTATTTAAAACGCTTATGTTTAAGAAAGTTCTATGCTCTTATAAAAAAATGTTTCATTTTACTCTCCAACTGATGTGATATCTCACAATCCAGGACGAGCGTCCTCGTTGACACTCGTTCCCTTCTCCAATTGGTGTCAGCTCTCACTCCTTTCGGAGCTGAGTGTTCTCGCTGGCGCACTCGGTATCCATCACTTTTGGAGCTCAGCATCTTCACTGACATTCGTTCCCTTCTCCAAAACACGAAAACTAGAATCTTTCAGGCAAATGCGAACAGATGATTTTAAGTATGGGAGTGGCTAGTTTAATGGCTCTAGTAGTTCTGCCAATGGTGAAATAATTGTGTCGACTGACCTACACATCTGATCTTTGTGGTGTAAATGTAATCTTGAATTCTCTTCTGAGTGATAGTGCTATGCCGGAAGAGGAAGAAGAAAAAAAGTGGTGGATGGGCCAGAGCTAGTTGATTTGAGCTGCATGCCCAGGAGAATTCACAGCCTATTAACCTCCTCTGGCCCATGTACGATATAGCCTTTTCCTAGCTCTGAAGACTGAAAAGACAGAACCATTTTTGGTGTATAAAGGTGGGGTTCTAGCTACTCATTGCAAACAAAGTTTCCAAACCAACAGAAATAATGGAGACTCGTGCGTCATATATCAGCCAGAATTGCCTAATAACACAGACATGCTCTCCAAACCCCCCCAAAACAGGGGGCCAATTAAGCAGTGATATGAATGAATAAAGAATCAATACAGAGCAAAGCAAAAACCTTTGGGGCGTGGAAATGGATGAATCCTGTCAAAATCCAGACCCCTTTGTTGTGGACAGATGGGGGCCTCTTGTAGACATTCTTCCCAGCAAACCCTCCTCCAAATTTCATGCCGACACCCTTTTTTTCTTTACTTTTTCGACCATAATCTTATGACTTCTCGCAGCCCTTTCCGGGTCACACTTTAGTTTTCAATTTTCAACAAAAATGTATGCTCCCCACGTTGCTCCTTCAAATGTGCATATTCATGGGTCGTGTTTTTAAGTCAGGTTTGGGATTGTAATTTTAAAAGGGTCTCATGTCAAATCAATTTACTTTTATTCAGTGATCATTATTTTGCACTGATTCTTAGGTTGGTTAACAAAATTATTAGTTTAATCCTCGTGTGAAATCCCTTTGCTTAATTAACTTGTCACGACCCGATTTTCGAGGCTTCGAAAATCAGACCGTGAACCAAAAGGCGAAATCGAAAACAAACAAAAAGAAAGTAGAAGAAAAGAAAAACCAAAGTAAAAATATAAAAATACTTTGAATTAAAACAAAAGAGAGAAATTTCATTTGTTAATTATTACAAAAGAAATTGCAAATATAAAATGAAATACAAAAGACTCTAAAAGACCGAAAAGGGACTGACGCTCCGGAACGACCCCCTCTGTGACTGTACAACTCTCAAACGCTCCTCTACCTCGACCAGCAGCCAGTGAACACCTGAGAAAAATAAATGAGAACGGGATGAGTATAAAAATTATACTCAGTAAGCCACCTACTTGTAGGCTCTCTTCGCATCTTAATTTAACAGAACTCCCACGGTTCCCTAATTCGGTTCTAGGACATTGGGTTCTAACCTTAGTCTATCGGGGCTTGCCCCTTGGGTTTCACCGGTTCATCGTCCTTTCATTAGTCACCTAGAGGTTCCTTATGCCCAGCTAATATGGTCGGTATCTCTCTATGAGGCGCTACCTCCACATGGCTATCTAGAACTACATGGTACCTAGCCTAGGGGTGTGCTGAATACCCCTACGCCCATATAGTTCTCCTATGGTGGGCGCGACCCAACCCGTTCCCATGCAGCTAATGGGCTGTACGACGTGGGG